TATTTTAATATTGGCATCACTGTGCTTCAGCAATGGCTTAAATACAATTAACTTTAATTCCAGTAACAATTTAAAGGGCTATTGATTGTTTATCATGTGAATGTCACTTGACAAAATTGTGTCCGACAACCTTGTCATGACATTTATGTTTTCAGCGTTTTCCTGTGGGTGGAGAGCACAGGGATGAGGAGAGCCTTGGCTCTGGGGCACTGGCTCTCTTTGCGGCACGACTTGGTGACACCTGAGCTCAGGGTTATCTATCAGGGTGTGGAGGCACCCACAAACCTTTAACATCAGAGACTGACTGGAGCGCAAGGCAGCCAGGGTTTTCAATGGAAGATCCTGCACAAAGAGGTCCTACACACCAAGGAAGTGGTCATTTCAGTCAGTGCTGGTAAACCATAGTCCAGCCACACACAAAAATGAGTCCAATCTTCTAAAGTTTGAGTTTAAAGGTTCAGTGTAGGGTTTAGGTGGATCTATTGGAAAATATTTAATTAAATATGCATGGCTCACAGAGTATAAACACCTGAAACTAAGAATCATTAGCTTAGAGTGACCTCTTTATATCTGCATCAATAGCCATGCCATGTTTTTACAGTAGCCCAAAATGGACAAACCAAACACTGGTTCCAGTTCAGGCCTTTCGCATTTGAATGCCACCTGAAGGCCACAATTGGTTCTCCTACACGTTGGAAGGATCGGGTGAAGGGAGAAGCGACAGTTAGTTGGGTGCACTCTGCACCTTCACCACTAGATCTTGCTTAATCCTAAACACTGAACCTTTAAAATGATTTCAGTATAAATGAATAGCTCACTTTTTTTAGATAGTGAGATGTTAAGGTGATTATCAAACTCATGCCTTTGTGTTAAGCACAGAGCTTGAATCCGAATGTGCATAGCCTAGCAAAGCATGAAGACTGGAAGCAAGGAAAACAGCTATCCTGGCTCTGTGCATGGTGGATTTTTTATTTTATTTAGCATATATATATGAAAGATACAGTAAAACAATATTTTGGGAGTTGGTCAACTTGGAGGTTATACTTGGTGAACTTGTATTCGAAAGAGAAATACACCATCATTTGTCAAAAAACTGTTCCCACTGCTTCCAGTCTCATTGCTATATGCTAAGCTGAGCACAACCTGACTGCAGCACTGTGCTCACAGAGGGATGAATATATTGATATCAGACCTCTCATCTCACTGTCTGAGAGAGAGAAAAGTATTTTCCTAAAAATACTGAATCATTCCTGTAAAAAAATGACATAAAAACAGAAAATGTGATTTTCTTTCTTGCTGGCTTTGTCTCCAAACACTGAACCTTTTACCTTCACCAACAGTAACCACCACCCCCAACCCCCTTGGGTATCACTACATGATTGAGGCCTGGAGTGTGAGCACACACAGGGCCTGGACCTCCCATAAAACTGCTGCAGGGGGCTGAGAAAAGAAGTGTATGAAAAACAAAATCGAGAGGCATACGGCTTGTTAGGGAGCTTGGCTTTCTTCCAGGCTTAAAACATCAAACCCCCAAACCTCTCTGGGTTCTTCTTCCTCTGGACTTCCCATTCTGAAATTTGTCTGGCCTGAAGCATTTGTAGTTGAGAGATGTATATCACAAAATGATGCATTACCGATAACAGCTCGTAAAAAAAACATCTCGACATGCATCACACTGTTATTTTGAGGGGCTTTAATAACGGTAGTGGTTTAATAACTGAAAGGTTGAATTACGCTGGAAATGGACTAAGCTATCTAAAAAATCCCCCTGTACACAGGAGACTCATTCTTGGCACCGCCACACACACAGGCTCTTATCATGTCTGACTGTTTGCTGCCTATAATTTCCCTGTTTTTTTCTTCTCAACAAGCCAAACCCCAGAGTTCATGGGCCAAAGAGCTGCACAGCCTCCGCATGTGCTACACATCACTGTGCTAGAAGACATGTGTCTGTCCAGCTTATGCAGTGGTTTCTCCAACCTTTCTTTTCTGTCTCCTCTGTAAAGACAATGTTTAAGGCTGCAGAGTTGACAATAGCACAGATTCAGCATGTGTCCAAATAAACAACAAGTTTAGAATGCAATAGTTGTATCCATTTCTGAATTTTACCTGAAACATTGATGATGAAGTGGAAGCGAGAAAGAATTGATTGCACCATAATGTGTTCTTACCCGGTGTGTGTAGTCTCCACATGTGCCCTGGAGAGAACAGGAGAAAGTTCAATCAGAGATCAGATGATTTAGACCTTTATACTAAGTGGTCATAGTTGTATACTAAAGATGTTACAGGTGATGATCAGCTATGATAAGTGCGGGTCAGCACGAGAAAACAGTCTATGTTCTGCGGCTACAGGGGTTTGACTAGTCTGAGGGAACACAATGATGATGTCATAGTGATGTCATCAGAAATATTCATCCTTGGCTTGGAGAGTACTAATTTATATCAGAAAGTTTAACAGCCTGGGTAATTACCAGGCAGGGAAGGGTCAATAAAAAGAAGCCAACACTTTGCATGGGGTCAAATGTTGCATTACAGTGCTAATTAGATGAAGCACTCCTTCAACAGGCCTTAGAGTGAATGATCTGAACAAGGCTGGTAAACCATGTGAGTGAGTAAGTTACTCACTGGTCAAATTGTGAAACTACTGAAAACAATGTCTCACCTTCTCTCCTTTGGGTCCGAGCTCCCCCTATAAAGCAAAAACATGTGGTTATACAGTTATCTTTTGAATAGATTTTGGAGAAAAAAGCCAGATAACATTTTCGATTCCAGACTTCAGAAACTTACTGGCTGTCCTTTGGGACCACGCTGACCCTGAAAGACACCGGCAATGCAGTCAGTCTTGAAAATAATTTAGGAATTGATTTTCACGTGAACACAAATTCCTGTCTTTATGACTTTAGGGGTTCAAAAGCAAAAGTTCAAAAAGGCAACTAAAGTGAGCTGAACAGCAAAACAATGTTCAATGCAATCATACATCCAAGGCTACTAAAATGCGAGCTTCACTGCTGGTAATAATATTCTAGTTCAATTATGCTTCGGAGAAATTTAAGTAATGCTCACCATGTCTCCCTTCTGTCCGTTCTGACCCTGTGTAAACATTAAAACACGAATTAGTGCAGGGGATAGAATC